CCCCATTGGTATTTTGTTGTTAATGTATTTTGGTGTTATGATGCAATGCATTTTAATTTTTTCTTATGTCAATTATTTGTCAAATACCCTATCGATATTAGACTTTTTTTACATGAGTTATGCGTTGTATTTTGCATTTCTTATTTATTATAATTCGAGACCCTTAGGCAGGATCATAATGAATGAGAATTTTTATATTATAGGCATGTTTGACTATGTATTTAGAAACATTTACTTTTTTTATTCATAATAATTGTGCATATTAAATGTTTCTTTTTTGTTTTGATACCGGCTTCTTTGCCTATGCCATTGACTTTGATCAAAACATTGAATGGGACAAATTTTGAGGATTGGAATGAATCTCTAGATTTATATCTGACAATTACTAATATGAACTTTCTTTAAGAGAGGAAGAGCCTCAAACTCTTACTCTTGAGTCAACTATTGTCCAGAGAACTTCTCATGAGAAATGGAGACACTTAAACAGGGTGTGTCTGATGGTGATGAAATACACCATGGAGAAGTCTATTCAACAGAGCATTCCATAAAATGATAAAGATGAGATTTTTTTTTTCAAGTCAGTTGGTAAGAAATTTAAGATTTTTGACAAAGCTCAAAAGGGTCAATATTTGTCTCTTATTAAGAAGACCAAATATGATGGTATTTGAAATTTGATCAGGTCTTTACTTCTTTTGGCTTCAAGGAAAATACCTCAAATCAGTGTATTTACTTGAAGACTAATGGGAGCCATTTCATCATTCTTGTCTTATATGTTGATGATATCCTTCTTACTGATAGCAGTGTTGAACTTTTGACTGAGACAAAATTTATGTTAAATAACCACTTTGATATGAAGGACCTTGGTGATGCCTCTATTGTTATAGGAATTCAGATTTTTCGTGATAGGTCACGTGAAATTCTTGGATTGTCTCAAAAAAGGTATATTGATAAAGTCCTAAACATTTTAACATGCAATTTTGCTCCCCATGTGATGCACCTGTTCAAAAAGGTGACAAACTCTCTAAATCTCAATGTCCTCAAAATGATAATAGAGTTGAGATGGAAAAGGTCTCATATGCTTTCGCTCTTAATAGTTTGATATATGTTCAAGTTTGTACTCGTCCTGATATTGTTTTTGCTATTAATGTTATAGGGATATACTTGAGTGACCCAGGTTTGGGTCATTGGAAAGCCGTTAAAATGGTTTTTAGATATTTGCAGGAAACCAAGGATCATATGTTGACCTATAAGAAGTTTGATCAACTTCAGGTCATTTTTTATTCTGATTCTGATTTTGTTGATTGTCCTGATGACCGAAAATCTACTTCCGGCTTTGTTTTTATAATGGTAGGAGGATCTATTTCTTGGAAGAGTGTTAAACAGACTCTTACAACTACTTCTACCATGGAGGCAGAGTATGTAGTTTGTTATGAAGCTACTTGTCAAGCTATGTGTCTTAAAAATTTGATTTCTGACTTTCATATTGTTGAAAGTATTTCTAGGCCACTTGTGATATATTGCGACAATATTGTTATTGTGCATTTCTCTCAAAACAACATAAGTTCTACTCGCTCAAAACATTTTGATATAAAATTTCTGTTTGTTAACTACAGAAAAAGTTTTCGATTTTCAAACTTGGATTGAGCATACTGCTACAGAAAATATGTTAGCAGATCCACTAACTAAACACTTAGCTATTGGAGTTTTTCAAAATGATGTAACTCATATGGGTGTGGTTAAGTTTTTTGATGTATTGAGTTAGTGGGAGTCTGAAATTTACATTTTTATTATTATGGTTTTCATGAGATGTAAATTTATCAATGACGTCATTTTCTTTACATCTCTTTTAGCATATAAAAATGCTTGGACCATTTTTTGGGATCACATATTTATTATATTTTTCATTATCCATTATTTATGAAATATAAGCATAAGGTATGTATCCCTATCAGATACTACCTTGTGGTTCATGTTTATATTTCTTATATTGTTAATTGATATATGTGCTTGTGTTGTAATTGGTATATTTAACATTAATTAATAAATTATATTTATATGTTAATATCAATATATTAATTTATGGGTAATGCATATTGGGCTTCTAATGAATGACTTGTGATGGGTTGGATTGTTCAGTAGCTTGCTGAGAGGTCCCTGGTCTCTACTGGTAAGGATATAAAACTGGTATCCCATTATCAGTTCTCATAGCAAAAAAACATTTCTGTCTTCTGCCTCTTCACCTCTTACCAGGAAGAGAGTAGTTTTCTCTCACGTTATTCAAGATCGATAAGAATAGATCCCTCGTTGATTTCGAATATGCAATTATTTCTAAACTTTCCTTAAACATACTATAATATTGTATCTTACATTGTTCATTATCTGAGTTATTACTATGAATTTCTAACATTTTTTTAAACCCTTTCACCACATTGGGATTACTTGCTCTACATATCATGTCCATTATCCCCTTATTTACTACAACATGTCAATATTTAGGACAGATGCCTTCTCGTATATGTCAAAACATTATCTCACCCTTTGTTTTGCATTCTTTTTTTGAACAATGCTTATTAATTTTATTCAAGATAATGCGGATGGAAAGTGGATAAAGTTTATTTATGATCCTATGACTATGTCAATAAATGTTTTGACACACTTTAGGAAGTGCTCTAGATTCAATCGCAAGTAATTTTTTCATCACAACTATGCTGGTGGTGAGGGATTCTAGACAATTTCTAGTGCATTATTTTTTTTGAATAAAAATACCTATTTTCATAAATAAATAAAAAATTGTTAAGAAAGGAAATGACAAAGTTGAACATTATCAAATAATGAAGTACATGTTGATTTGAAGATATCAATCATTGAATCATATTCGTTTTTTTTTATATTTGTAAGATGTAACTCAAAGCCTAAGTGTTCATAATGTCCTTTTGACTTTTTTCTTTAGTGAATATTTTTTTTAGAAATCATTATGGTTTTCCTTTTTCATAGGTTTTGTTAATTTTTTTTTTTAGGTTTTGCCTAGTCCCCCATTTTGTATTCCTTTTGTTATTTTTTTTTAATTAATAGGGCATGTTGCAAATGATTGTTAGATCTTAGGGTGCCAACATTATTGGGATGCCATTATTCTATAGTGATGCAAGCCATGTCTATAATTTTATTTTTTAAAAAATGTTAACAAAACTATTTAACATTTTCTTTGTTAAACATATTGTAAATTCTCAATTTGATTCTTATACATGCAAACTTATTAAATCATTTCCTACATTTGTTAATCATTATCGACTTGGTCCATAACACTACTAACTCTGTTGCATATTGTTAATTTAATTCTTATATATGCAACACTTTCTTAATATGGTCTCTACTCATGTAGGACATTCTAAGTTTCATCCTTTACAAATGAAAGATCAAATTAACAATATTTTAATTGTGTGGGGACCAAATTTTAGTAAGTTTCATCACTAAATCAAGAGATAAACTCATTAATTAAATGAAACATGAGATTACCCAAATTTATTATTTTCAATAAAATTTGATAATTCTTCTATATTTTATTTGACATATGAAATTCACACTGACCAAAAAAATTTGAGGCATCCAATAATTGTTGAATAAGTATTCAAGATGGTGTATTTTGCAAGCGAATTGAGCTATAGCCTTAGGCTCCATATATTTTTCAATTGTTATTAGACTAATTCTACAATTGTCCGCCATCATAGGTGGTCAACCATGCACCATCATTTTAGGATTAATATAAGAACTATTTTATCACATACACTCTCCATATTGAATCATTTTTACCTCTTCCTCTACCAACCACCATTAGAACACCATTGACCACCCTACCTCTTTGTGAGGTGACTTCTAGCAACAAACACTACTTTTTTCATGATTTTTCAATTTTATAGTGTATTTGTTTCAAGATGTCAAAATTTTTTTCCATAATCAATATGCTAATATACACCTAAAAAAGAGAAAATAAAATAAAAGAGATAAGTCAGATGTAATGATTTTATGAAGTGATAGGAGAAGAAATAAAAAAAAATGAAGAGAGAGAAAATAAAATAAAAAAGACAAGTCAAAGATGTAATGGTTATATGAAGTGATACGAGGAGAAATTAAAAAATTGTAAAATATTGTTGAATTGTTTAAAATATTTGGATGTTTAAATATTATTATTCTTTTAGAATATAAAAAAAATGTTAGATTCCTTTACACATTATTTATTTAGGTGTAAATAGAAAAGAAAGAAAGAGAAGAAAAATAACTAAAAATATCAATTTTATTATTTATTAGAAAGAAAACTAGAAAGAAAAATGTTGTGGCTAAAATAAGAGCTTCACTCCTAGTTAGAGTGAAATAGAGAGTAATTCTTTTTCTTCACTTTAAATTTTTATTTACTATAAAAACATTTATCACAAATCATTTTTTTCTATTCTTTTTCATTCATCATTAAAATTTAGATTAGAGATAAATTTCCCTATATTTTCCTTATTTCAATTCATCTAAATAATGCATCTTTTTTAATTATTTATTCCACTTCAAACTTAAATAGAACATTAAACAGTACGTTTATCTTAATAAAGATAAGAAAGAGTACATGTTATCAAATTACCATGAGA